GTGTGTAGTATATATAATAATATATATATATATATATATATATATATATATATGTATGTATGTAGGTAGGTAGTATATATATATATATATATATATTTATATCGTGTGGGGTGTGTGTATGTGTACGAGTGTGTGGGTGGGTGGGTGGGTGTGTTGTGTTGTGTGCGTGTGCTTTAGTGTGTTTATTTGTGTGTATGTTTATGTTTTGTGTGTGTGTGTGTGTTGTGTGCGTGTGCCTTTTTGTGTGAATATTTGAGTTTGTGTGTGTATATTTATGTTTGTGTGAATATTTGTGCTTGTGTGCGTGTATATTTATGTTTGTGTGAATATTTGTGTTCAAGTGTATGTGTATTTATGTTTGCGTGTGTATGTGTGTCTGTAGGCGTATATCTATATGTATTTATAATCTAAAAACCTGCGCAACTGCTTTCGAGAATTCGAATCTCTTGTTCTATAGCCGCGCCAATTGAAGTTATGCACAGCTCGTGTACGACTATAGGTATCAACGAATCGATGACATGTGGTATACACAATCGATAGCGTTAAAAACGTTCTGCGAAGCTGGCAGCATGGCACTCGCCACGTTAATAAGGCGACACATACCTGTTTGTCCAGTACCGAAGAAAGACTCGGAAGCCCAAAGAAGCAATCCGCACGAACACCTCGAACACCATAAAAGTCACTATGGCAAATTCCAATACCCAGAACACCTGTTGGGTATAGAACAGGAGCGGTGTGAGACACCTCACCGAAAGCTGATTTGGACGTACGAAAACGGGCTGACATGAAACATCGAGGACTACATACAAGCGAATGGGTACGATAATATTTGTCAGCGATACAACGAAGCATAAACTCTAATCGGGCTACCCAATAGGCCCCCCTCGACTAGTGCTATGTGCGCCTGAGATTGTACTAATGGCTTTTAAATATTGTTTAGTCTTGTAAAGAGAATAGCAACTTTGAACATGGTGGACACGCGGCCCGAAGATATACATGATCATGAATAGGTATATACGAACGTGAATAAATGTGTACCAACGTGAATAAATTTGTGCCACGGAAATGGTGTATAAACGTGAACATATAGGTGTAGGTGTAGGTATACTCCATACATAAGTATAGTGAGTGTGGTTGTGTAGACAATCGTAAATGAAAATGTACAAACGCGAATAGGTATGTATGAATGTGAACGTAGATGTACAAACGCAAATAGAAATGTACAAACGCGAATAGATATAATATACAAACGTGAACGCATATGTACAAACGTGAATGCATATGTACAAACGGTCAATAAAACCACTCTTCTATATCTGCTGTATGTACGCCAGAGAGTACTTTATCAGCCTATCGATATTCCATCAAATTAAGATGAAGAGATGAGATTCTGCTTTTTTGTTTGATAATGATCTTAGACCGATGAGTGACAAGCCCGCAAGAATAATTAAGGCTCGTCCAAAAAATCAAATACATCACTTGAAATTTTGAAAACATACGTGAAATTCCGGTTGCAGCACGGCCGTACTGTATAATAGAGTCAATGTGCTAACTACAATGATGAGCAAGCAAACATGCAAATACGCCTTTGACAGCAGAAACCGATTGCAAGCGGCTAGCATCTTCTCACTGCCAGACATCGGTCGAAAATTGAAACTTGTGGCATCCTGAAAAAAAATTTATCCGTGTTACTGAGTCGGTGTGACAAGGGTAGTGAGGAAGATAATATATATATATATATA